ATTGGAACTTCGATGGAAAAATATGTATCTAGAATATGTTACATTCTAAAATATTCTATGGAATAATTTTAGTTAAAGCTTCATGTTCCCAACTGTGGCCTTTGAAGCAAAGACACGATTTTTCTAATTAGGTTAAACACATTTCAGTTGTAAATTATTTTTCTAAAATCCTTGAAAATCTTAAATAAACTTGCATAACCAAAACGTATTTGCTTCGAAAGATTGGACAGTGATTATAATCCGATTACAATTTCTAAAATAAATGGATCAGAAAGGTTTTGCTCCTTATGATTTCTGTTAGCTTATTGGTCTCTAATTGATGATGTTTTATTGCCAAATGTTCTGCACTGTTTACCAAGAAATTGCCCAAGCTTGAAATAAGTCGTTTTGATATTTCCAAGGAAACGTTGTTGCTATTGTTAGTTGATATAAGTACCGACCTGCTTGCAATCATTCGAAAACATCATGTATGCACTAATTGTTTAGAAATGATCAAATCGCTGCTTTTTCCATTTGATGTCAAAATCGGGACGGAATTTGCTGTGGCAATTTGATTCGATAGTCGTCCGATAAATTAGCGGATATTTCAATGAAAATATGCTTAGTGAACTCTCCGATTTCACATACAAAGTGCCCATGTTCAGTAATGAATTCTGGTCACGATTTTTAACACACCTACGGAATTTTCATCAAATAAATATGAAAATAAGAGAAAAGCGTAAAAACAAAACCCATCTTGCCGCAAGAACGTGAGCGCAATATTCTTATTGCCTCTGTTTTGAATCCGACACATAAATGGATTTCTGAGTTAGTTTTCACCTAATTTTCTCAACAAAATTAACGCATTTGTTAACGAAAGGATCAAAAATTGGTTACTTAACTTTAATGAATAGGGATAATATTTTAGAAATAAGGCCAACATTGCATTTTACACTAAATTTTAATGACAAGAATTTGCGGTTTTTTTACGTTTTGTGTCTATTGTTGCTAGTTCGAAAAATTATGTGATATACAATCTTTTCTAAATTTATTTACCTATTACTGTAAAAAACTCGAATGTGTCCGGTGAATCTCAATATCATAATAGACAGCAATAAAATTGAAAATATAAAGGACTGTATATCTTTACATCCTCCAAGCCAACGAATAACTCTTGGAAAGGAAAACAAAGATATCGAGATCGAAAGGTAAATTATATTAGAATGGGCGGCTTTAGCACTAAAAAATATACTTACCAACAAAAAATACCCCTGCATCTGCAATCAAAACTTTACCACCAATGCGTCTATAGCCAGTAACCACATACGGCGCTCAAACATGGACCTTCACAGGGCAAATGGTGAACAAGCTTAGAGAATCTCAAAGAAATATGGAAAGAAGAATATTAGGCGTTTCTCTGCGTAGCAAAAAAACGAAACGAGTTAATTGGAAGCAAGTCTAAAATAACATATATATACAGGGTGTCGCAATAAGGATGGTAAGCGGCTGTATCTTGGAAAATATGTGTTGTAGAGTGATCGAAAAAAAAATTGATAACAAACTTGAGGAAAATAATTTGCTGGAAATGATTTTGAAATTTCTCAGATGACCACTAGATGGCGTAATTGCAACCGGTATCTTGAAAAGTCGATTTTATACAGAAATTGTCGCTATAAGTGAAACTATCTAGTAAGTTAACCGCTTAATTCAAAGAAACCTGTAACTCCGAAACGGCTTAACCGATTTCAAAGTTTTCACTATCAATTGAAAGAGCAATACAAACTCTACAATATGTGATATAAAAGCAATCTTAAGCATTTTCAAAAAATCCGCTGTTCGAAAAAATTCTTTGTTTTAATTTTTCATAAAAATTTCAAATGCTACCATAAGTTATTTTACACGCATTCGAAGGCACAGGAAAAAATGAACTAAACCGGGAAAACCGCATCTTAAAATAATTTCTGGAATCGATTTATTACTTGAAAATAATAAATGTTGCCTAATTCAAATAATTAAAGTAGGCTTTGGAAGAAAAAACGTTGTTTTATTTTTCCGACTATTTTCAAACTTTCACTTATAGGGACAATTCCTACTTTAATTATTTAAATTGGGCAACCCTTATTATTTCTAAGTATTAACTCGGTTCCAGGTATTATTTTGAGATGCGGTTTTTGCGGTTTGGTTCATTTTTTCCTTTAATTTCGAATGCGTGTAAAATAATTTGATGGTAACATTTGAAATTTTTGTTAAAAATTAAAACAAATAATTTTTTTCGAACAGCGGATTTTCCGAAACGGAGTAAGATTGCTGTCATATCACATAGAGTAGAGTCACAAATTATGAAGCATTATAGTAAGCACTCCATTAGCGGCTAGTGAATTAAACAGTAATTTCGCCCGCACGAATTGCATGTGCAAACATTGCACGTTACAATGGTACAGCGTTACTTTGTTCCAGATAAGTTCTGTCAGCGACGTGCTCATTGCATATAGACACAAAAGCTTGTCTTAGGTAGTTTCCAAACTCAAATTATGCAACATTTAAGTTGTGCCACCAAACAATGGTCTGGAGATTAAGGCTATTTGATGCCATCGTCTTTTCATTTCCAGCAGGCTAAACTTTAGATTAGCCTGCCAATATTAATTGCCGGAATAATAAGTAGGTATAATTCGGAATTGGATGCAATCGAACAACCAAAATTAAATCAATAACTGGTGTATTATTAAATTGTTTCAATATTAATTTGTTTCGTTGATGTGGCTTTGCCAGCTGGTGTTTTATTGACACTCTCTTTCTATCTTGGAACTGATTATTAAGACATTATAGATTCACTAAAACGCCCACCAAATAGACTGATTTTGGGGTAGTTTAAATTAGGGTTTCTGGAAGAAATAATGGAGTTGGAACAGCCAATTGGATGCAAAAAAGCGGATTGTTTGCATCATTGATGGTCTACTGGATCACAACGTTTATTTTCAGTTTAGTTTATATTTTTTGTACTTATAACATTGATCTTAAACATTCGTCTAAGAATTTTTCGATCTAGTTGTTGACCACCAAAGTTTAAATTTAATTTGTTAAATTTTAGCAGATCTGATTAATCAGTGCAAATTGTTTGTTGTTTGTGTAATTGATTAGTTCTGAAAATGGGATTGCTTGTCTCTTGTTCTCCAAGCTCTTTTGATCTCGATGAGCTGAAATGTTGGTGCAATTTTTTCGTCTAATAGTCCACTGCTTTGAATTGAAGAACACCTCTTCTTTATTTAGCAAAACAATCTAAATATTCCTGCTGAAAAAAAGGAAGTAAAATGATCTTTACAAAGAGACACTTTGGCATCATTATATTTTCCCTTTAAACGGCCACAGAAATGTATTATTAACTGAATCGTCATGATTAAATACCATCCCATCCGCCCATCCGATTACAATTCGTTAGCGTCTCCACAAGACTATTCTTACACATTCTTACTTCTAGACAATTCGCGAAATAATCAGCATTTCACTTGCGAAAACCTCTTTAAAGCGTGTTTATGCTTTTTTGCAAAGTAAAATTACGTTGAAATATGTCGCTCGACACTTTAAGATTAAATTAGGTGTTAAGAAGCCGAACTGGAATCACCCAGGTAGGCGAATAGCATTACGAAAAACCGCAAGCAAGCAGGTAGGCAAAGGCATATCTTTTACGCGACAGATGCTTAGAAATTTATCAGACCGTGCTTCCTGGAAATCCCGCAAGAAGTTCTCTGTTCTGAATGGGTCGTTTTCCGTTCTTTTTTTCACTATTTCAGAGTCAGTGTCGTACAACGATGAGAAGCAATTTTTCTTTTGATTGTGTTAGTTTTTTTCCGATTTCAACAATGGGTTCATTCAGTTTCTCCTTGAGAAACACTTCCAGTTTATCGTCCATTTATGCGAAATCCTACCTTGGTTCTTACCGACGCTAAAATTAGAGCAGATTAATTTTCCCACATCCGATTTACTCAGGCGTAATGACCCCACACAAAAAGAAGATATTGCTTGTTCAAACAGGCATTTATAAACGTCTAACTCCAATGGAAAATAATTATTGGTTTACATATGCTTTGGAAAATTAATATTTGCCTTCACCTCATACAAATCGAATAAGAGGTAGCACAATAATATACGGTACAAACAACCTATTTGAGTAAACGGTATGGAGAGATATGCGTCAATATTAGTTATATTAAATGCCCGAAGAAGGATATGTACATACAATAAAGGAAACTTGGTATATGTAGATTTGGATTGCCACTAAAATGATATTACTAAGCAAACCTGTATTTAATAATTAAATGAGTTGTTTGCCAAACAAGGGTTTCAGTCGCTTTAATTAAATATCACGGATTCGTATATGCTAAAACTGGAATTGAAAATAAATTAGGATAGAGAGAAATATTCTAGAACAAAAGCTGAGCTGGGAATTAATCAATTAAACCACATACTGACTAGTGGAAATGTAGATTATATTTATTCAACTGTTTTTAACAATTATTTGGATTTTCTTTTATTCGGCAAAATGTTAGCTAAATATATTGCAGGTATATTGGATGCTTCAATGTGAAAGACCTTCAATGGCAAGAGCTAGGAATATTTATAAAAAATCAAATTTGCTTTCAAAACAAACTTTGGTTGCCTAAAATGAAAAAAAAATGTTCAGTAGTCCGAAGAAGTTAAATTTTACGGGAAAGAAAAAACAACTATAAGGATAAGGATAAGGGGGCATGTGTTGAAGAAAACAGCAAAACATGAAGAAAACTTTCAACCAAAGAAAAGCAAATATAGAAGTAGCTACATAATTATTGGCGCAAAAGTGAAGAGCGAAAGAGCATTCAGTGCAAGATGTAAATTTTGAAGAAAAATAAAAAGTTACGAGCTGCAGTTGATAGAGTCAAATGGGCACGAATGCTTGCTAAACTTTTAATGGAAAAAGACACATAGATAAGAAAATTACGACAACCTTGAACCCATGGCCATCCCCAAACGAAAAACTGAAAACAACGTTCGTTTAAACATGGATTTAGTCAAATTTCTATGTATAACAATAATCGCTTTGCAAATGATGTAATTAAGTCATGACAAACTATCATTTTAAAATTCGGGCTCTTTCACTCCCGCAATTATATTTTTCACATTTGTCTTGGTAGTATCGCCCATATTCTTAATGTCCGAAATTCTGGTCTCGTACAGCTTAATGTTATGGTTTAGTCTCTTAATATTCCTCAACAGTTTGCCATTAACCTGTTCACATTTCTTTATGGCGTCTTCGTGGATTTCTTTAACAGTCTCTCCTTGTTCAGCTACGCTGTTGATTTGATCTGCCAAAAATTTGCCTCTAGCTGCTTCTTCTTCCACCAGTTTCTGAGTGTCCAGCGCTGCTTTTTTCAGCTCCTCGTAGAGGCGAGTATGTTCGCTCACGGGCAAGTTGAATTGTTGCCTGTTCTGTTCTTCTACCACTTGTTTCTTTTTCCAATGCTCTGTTACTGCTTTGTACACCTTTTCTGTGTCCAGGCACATCTGTTCCATTCTGTCAGCATCTTTCTTTTGTCTCGTGCTCTCTTTCCTGAGCTCCTTTTTCATTTGGGTGGCAATTCTTTCGTGTCTTGTATGGGTGCGCTCTGCAATCTCTTCTTTAAGAGCTGCCAGATATACAACAAACCTTTCGACAATGGGATTTGGGTAGGTCTCCTTGAGAGCTGCCATCTGTTTCCTATTAGGCATTTTTTCAATTGCCTGCTGCCACATGGCTGCAGGAAGCTGATATTCGTCATCCGGCTCTATTGCGGATACCTCAAATAAGTGGGGCATCATTTTTTCCTCGATGTCATCCAATATTTCTTCACGACGTGCCACTTTATCTCGCCGTATCTTAATGCGATCATACAAAGTCATCAGCAGCTCCATCCGTCTTTCATAGTCGTCTAGGTTGTCGTAACAGCAGCTGTACTGTCCTTTAGCTTTGAGATCTTCGATCAATTGCTCCAGCAAACCTTCAACAGTTTCGTTGAATTCGGGGGCTTTGCCATTTAGTTCATCAGCAACTATTTGCAGCAGGGTGTCATAAAATGTTAAAACCTTCTCTCTCTCCTGGGGATTTTTTCGCTTTGCCAAAATCTTCTCCATTTCGTACTGCGGTACTTCTTCGTTGAACTTTCTACCAAATTGTGCATCCAGCTTTTGCATGGATGTATCACCTGCTGCTAATGAAGAATTCATCCAATCATCGCCTAAATGCGCAATATTACGATTATTTATTGTTTGCTTGTTATTTAACTATTTACCCGTCAGGCTGATTCCCACATAAGCAAAAGCTCCCTGTCCATTTGGAAGAGTTCTAGTGGCAATATAAGTTCGACCGGGTTTATCAGCTGGACTTTCTTTGTGTTGAATGGTAAGATCAGTATCGTTTAACCAGTCAGGCGGTTCAATAGAACAGGGACTACCTCCAAACACCTGCAAATTTATTTGTAGAAAATGGGCAAATTTGGAAGATTGGGTCAGATGACTGACAAAACATCGAAAATGTTTCTATGTGTATACCTGCAAGGCATCGGAAATATCAACGTAATACGGGGGTTGCAAAAAGGGTTCCTCCAACTTGCCACTTTGCATATGTATCAAGAGATTAGCCAAGTACATATTACGGCAACGTTTTCTATCGACTCCCTCGCATGGTTCGGTGCAGAGCTTAAGAATCCAGTTTCGACACATCCGAAAGACATCGTGATCCGAAATTCGCTTAAGGAACGTGCTCGTAAAGTTCACGTAAAAAAGGAAGTCATCGTCTAGTTTCGCTTCGGTGTCTAGTTTTGCTTCAGTGTCCATTTTCCGCTATGGTTTTTCACGAGAATTTTTCAAAAGAAAACTGTCATTGAAAGCCAACGTCACTTGTTCACGGCAAAGGAACTTGGCTACGTTTGATTGCACTAGAACTACCTTACTAGAACTTACCTTGGCAAATTACCGAGGCAAATACTGCTATGTGTGTTTTGAGGATAATGCGTTATCAAAAAACTTTTAAAACGGGTATCTTTGCTTTAAACGGGCCGTAAATTGGCTTTATTTTCACTGAACTTAAATCTTAAATTAAATAGCGCGCCACTTTAATACCTGGATAAAAATGTTAATATTAGTAAAGTTTAATCGTTTTACTGATAGGTACTACTTTTGCATGCTCTAGCATTTAAACTATTTTTTGTCAATCAAATTCAGTTAGCAAAAAATGGAATATCGATATTCATTATCAGCCTTTTCGGTGGTTATATCCACGTCATAAATGCAAACGACGAACGCAGCAGCGCAATTGGCAACTTGTACAAGAATTAAATTTGAAAAGTATTACTCGCATTCCGATAATATACTCATACTACATATACAATATATATTACTATAATATACGCATATACTCTGTATAGTTCAAATTATTCTTGTAACGCGCCGTCATCGGCTGGGACCAGTTGTGACGTCAAGCGGCTCGTCGGCCGCTGCGGCTGCAATCTGGAGCATGTAAATATGCAATCTCAGTCTTCATATTGTTGTTAAAACGTTTATATGGTGCACTAGGAGAAACATCAAATTTTTCAAAATGACTGACGTATGTTTTCTAAAAGGACAATCTGTCTTTTTACCACTAGTGGATATATTTATGGTGGCATCTAACATTAAAAACACCGAAAGTTTTACTCTTGCTGAAGTTCGCGATGTTAAAGCTAAAGGGTAGATTTTTAAACAAAATAGTCGAAAGTTTTACTTATATAAATCGATAAAATGTTAGATTGGAGTTTTACTGGCTTTAATTTTCAAAATTCAAACAGGACCTATTGATCAAAATGTAAGTGAATTAACAAAAAAATAAGTAAGTATTGTTTTCATGTTAGTAAAAACTAAATTACACCATTAAAAGTTATTTCGCATTGATGCAAAATAGAGCGTTAATGATAAAATATATCCTTAGCTACTAAGAATAACAATGTTAAGTACAAAAATATGTACTAATTAAAAAAAAAACGTTATTTACAGATCGGGAAGGGATTCTTATGCAGTTTCTGCAGTACAATGGGTGCAAGTTACAAGTACATTAGCCTTCATTTTTTTCAGACCTCCCATTAACTAGAATTTAACATAGTTATCCATATCTTCTTCCACCTAGAATAAATAAATAATATTAAAGTTACATAAAAATATGTGTTAATATTCATATTGCATGACAAAAATAGTAGGTATTTAATGTAAATGCTCGACTATCAAAAGAGAGTTTTCCTTCGGATATACTTATTGTTTCTTTTTATCGTCTAGTATATAAAGGGTGATTCAAAATTGGCGTCATTCCTCTGGAGGTGTTGTCTGGCGCTGTTATACGAGTACAGAAAAAATAGTAAAATAAACATTGCCTAATTAACATTGCGCAAATACCTGTTGCTTCGTAATTATTTAAAACTAATCATGGAATTATACAGACTGACAATAAGATAGACAAGGATAAACGGTAAATTCAACAAGATTTGTTGACGAAATGTCAACCTGTTCTCATAACCTCGAATTCTGTGGGGTTCTGTGTTTACATAAATAATCCATACAACACCAAACATTTGAATGGTTAACTCCAAACAAGCTAGTGCCTGTGTAATCTCCTTATTATCCACTCTTATCAAGCAGCTTCTCGTATTCAGTTAATTAACTCGTGCTCCATTTGTATCTCCTTGTCCTGTGTGTATCGTACAAACGCCTTTCCTCGGTTACCAAGTAAATCTTGGTGCTTGGGAAAGTGTCAGTTATTGTGCTCTGAGTGCCCCTGGAAGGCCCTGATTCGGTTATGCCCAATACGTGTTCCTCTGTGCCTGGAACCCAAACATCGATTGTCGTCCACTATCTTCCTGGAACCACTCTCCTCGCCCTTTGTTGTCTTGAGTTCTTTCAGGTTCTGCTATGTTACTGTAGCATTTCCCCTGAACTAATCGCATATCAGCAAATTCGTGAAAGGAAATTCAAAGTAAGTCACA